GTTTATTAAAAATTTTTAAGGGTTGCTTTGTTTCGAAAAAACGTTTTATAGTTATTAATACATCCAAGAATTACGTCTTATAAAAATTATTCTATGATTATTAATCCATCAAGGATTGCGTCTTTTCAAAACAAAAACAGAAAAACCAAACCATTTTATGGTTATTAAAATATCTAAGATTGCGTGCGTCTTTTTAGAAAATCTTATTTATGGTGATTAATGCATTATAGGGTTACGTTTTTTCAAATAAGCGTTTTGTGGTTACTAATACATCTAAGGGTTGCGTCTTTTCGAAAAATACCGTTTTATGGTTATTATGCATCAGAGGGTTGCGTTTTCTCAGAAAAAAACCATTTTATATTTATTAACTTATTAATGCATCATAAAGTTACATATTTTTTAAAAATCTGTTTTGTTGTTATAAATGCATCATAGGGTTGTGCTTTTGAAAAATCTATTTTATGGTTATTAATTATTTCTAGAATTGCATCTTTTTGGAAAAACTCGTTTTAGATGCTTGAATACCCATAAAACAGCTTTTTTATAAGATGCAACTCTAGGATGTTTTAATAAACATAAAAGAGTTCTTCGAAAAGACGTAACCCTAAAATGTTCTAATAACCATAAAACAGTTTTTTCCTAAAAGAAACAACCTTTGGAAATAACCATAAGGCGACTATATCGAGAAGATGCAATCTTTGAAAATAACCATAAAACGATTATTTTCGTAATGACACAACCATAGAACGGCTGTATCGAAAAGATGCAATCCTTTAAAATAACCATAAAGCGGTTATATAAAAAAACAAAAATCTTTGAAAAAGGATTATATAAAAGAAACATACAAGTTTTGAAAAGCGGTTATATCGACAAGACGTAACCTTTGAAAATAACCATAAAGTGATTATTTTTGAAATGGCACAACACAAAAATATATTTTTTTTTCTTGCTGAAAATTCCATTGATTTCAGATGGAGTTTACAAAATCAATACCCAAAAATATTACAAATATGCGCCAAAAAATATTCATTTTCTAGATTGCTATTATTAATATGCTTACGCAGCTTCAATATTCGATGTATACAATAAAAAAAAACTGTTTTCAAATATAAGAATCTAAGTTTCTTTAGAGAATTGTTAAATATAAAAACTCATTAAACGTACCACCCATTCTCAAGAAAAATATAATTGGAAATTTCATTAGTTTTTAATATTTAAAAACCATAAAATCTGCATTGTCTAAAGAATTCCAATTAAAATTATTTCCGTTTTTACCACTATTGGTTAAGGTTGATGAACATCCTACATAAAAAATTTAAAACAAAAAAAATAGAAAATTGAACAAATCATGTAATCTTTACCATTGAAACTTTTGTAATCGTTATCGTAGTATTCAACATTGGAATTTTTTAGCTGATATCATCAATATTTGTATTTAAAATATCTTTAACTGTAGAAAATAATTTAGTTCTACAATGTTTTACAAATTAATTGTCAGTTTCATGTATAGAACGTTTATCCAT